TAAAGACATCATTCAGAGAAGCCATTATGATGGCTTTTATTATAGTTGCCTTTTATTTACTATTTATTAAGATTATCATTTCATCATTCCCTGTCTTGTTGTCTTTAAAGTGGCATCATGTTAACTTAAGAGTTATGTTTCCCTCCCCCATTCTTTAGCTCTGTAAAAATACTATTCAGTATGACCTCATACTTGTCTACTCCAACTTGTGCCTGCTGACTCCCACTCACCTCAACAGAACTCTATTCCCATAGCATTTTATTCTCAACCATGTACAAAAGAAAAGAAATAATCAAAAAAAGAAACCCTCATGGAAGTGTTAACTAATAATGCCTTGCCAGGCAATAATCCTTCTCTAAGACTTGGATTTTAATGAGATCCAATTGCATGAGATCCAATGATCTTAAAATTAATCAGTAATGATAAAAATGTTTCCTCATGGGGCTGGGAAGGTGGCTCAGTGGTAGAGTGCTTGCCTTGCAATGCATGAGGCCCTGGGTTCGATTCCTCAGCACCACATAAGCAAAAAGAAAAAAGCCGGAAGTGGCGCTGTGGCTCAAGTGGTAGAGCACTAGCCTTGAGCTGAAGTGCTGAGGGACAGTGCCCAGGCCCAGAGTTCAGGCTCCACGATCAGACCCCCCAAAAAAATGTTTCCTCATTTAGACAAATGAAAAACTAGCAAGGGGAAAATACAGACGCTCTTTGGATCATACTTCTTTTTGCTTTACAATCCCATCCTAGAAGTCAAAACAGGACAACAGCGAAATCAAAGAAATGTGAACAGCCAGGTGCCAGTGGCTCATGCCTGTGAGCCACTCAGGAAGCTGAGATCTGAGGATTGTGGTTTGAAGCCAGTCCAGGCAGAAAAGTCCCAGGAGACTCTTATCTCCAGTTAACCACTCAAAAACTAGAAGGGGAGCTGTGGCTGAAAATGGTAGAGCACTAGCCTTGAGCAAAAGAGCTCAGGGGCAGCACCCAGGCTGAGGTCAAGCTCAAGAAAGACAAGGAAAGAAAGAGAGAGAGAGAGAGAGAGAGAGAGAGAGAGAGGAAGGAAGGAAGGAAGGGAAGGGAAGGAAGGAAGGAAGGAAGGAAGGAAGGAAGGAAGGAAGGAAGGAAGGAAAGAAGGAAGGAAGGAAAAAGGAAGGAAGGAAGGAAGGGGAGAGAGAGAAAAGCACAGTAAGAAAGAAAAGAGAAAGAGAGAATGAAAGAAAGAAAAAAGAAAGAAAGAGAAAGAAGGAAGGAAGGAGGCTGGGAAGGTGGCTCAGTGGTAGAGCGCTCGCCTTGCATGCATGAGGCCCTGGGTTCGATTCCTCAGCACCACATAAGCAAAAAGAAAAAAGCCGGAAGTGGCGCTGTTGCTCAAGTGGTAAAGTGCTAGCCTGAGCTGAAGAGCTGAGGGACAGCGCCCAGGCCTAGAGTTCAGGCCCCATGACCGGACCTCCCACCCCCCCCAAAAAAAAAAAAAAAAAAAAGGAAGGAAGGAAGGAAGAAAGAAAGAGAGAAAGAGAGAAAGAAAGAAAGAAAGAAAGAAAGAAAGAAAGAAAGAAAGAAAGAAAGAAAGAAAGAAAGAAAGAAAGAAAGAAAGAAAGAAAGAAAGAAAGAAAACAATGGAGTCTCTAAGTTCCCAAAAACCTTTGCTAAATCGCAATTTAGTAAGCCCTTAGCAGGGATCAGTTGAGTGTCCTAGGATGCCATTTGAAATCACTAGCAATAGACACTATCCATGTGTTTAAGATAGAAAGTGGAGAGCTTTCAAAATAAGATATTTCTCCATTCTGAAGTGCAGTGAGCATAGCAACCTGTTTTGATTCATTATGGTCTTATAGCAAGATTAGCAATTATGAAATCCTGAAATAAATAGCTAAAGCTAGAGAGAGTACTGTGATTGGTATTTATTTTCATGATTTAAGAATTTAAGGATTATTGGCCAGTCATTTTCAACACTTTGTAATTGAAGTCTTGAAACAATGGGATTCATCAGAATAATGCATCATTTACCTTTGTATAATTTGAGTGCACTGACAAAGCACATGTGCACTCATAAATGGTTTGCCTACACAACGGTAATAGATCACCCTGCCCCAGTTCATACAGTGTTGGAAGAAAAACTATGGGATATGACTGATCACTTACCAGACAGGTTCTTCACTTCTTACATCGCTAGGAAGCCTTTTTATATAACCTTCGTATTATTCATGCTTGCCAGTGATAAAAGATGCTTTTATCATTCAGGGGTTTTATTATTATTTATTTATCAAAACACAAGTGTTTCTGACAAAAACAACTTTCAAGCATCAAACAGATCATCAGCCTGAGCTTGGAGCATCCGGGAACTGTTACCTGCATAAACTGTGTTGAATTGGCATATCATCACTTAGGGATGATAACATGTTAAAATAAAACTAAATGGTTTCTTAATAGGATAGTCATCTGGTCAAAGCAAAGACAGTATACATTTCTCTTTTTTATTGAATTGCTAAGAAGAAACTGGGGTACCACTGCATAGACATTGTTTTGTAAAGACAAATATCTGCTTAAAACATCAGGGTGGGGTTTTTTCCAGAAATAATTGTTTTTCACTATTAAAATTATTTTTGAACTTGTGTGCTGATTTAAGCCTCAATATCCTTTGGGGTTAATATTGCACTTTATATAGGCCTTATAACACCTAGAATTTCTGGTCTCTTCTACATGCTTTAGATGTGTGTTTTATTTCCTATGTTGAGTTTTCTGTTTTATTTTCCAAAATACTCTGGATGCTTGCAACTCCAGGATCTTCGTGGACCAGCATATCATCTCTTAGAAACTTATCAGAAATACAGATTCTCGGGCCCCAGCCCATCCCCCCACCCCCATCATCCCATTACAGAACTCAGAATCTGCCTTGTCACAAGATCACTATTCTTTTACGCTAACGCTCGTGAAGCACTGCTTCATACATTTTAGATAGTAGGTGACATTGTGGAAGAAGCCATGATTGTCCATGGACCTGGATGAGTTACTATAGAAGGCAAAATGTTATTATTATACTAATTAACATTTTTGAGTGCTTACCATGTCTCGGGCATTGTGCCACCAAATGCTTTTTACATGTGTTGTTCGCCATTGTATTGAAGGCAAAAGAAACCTGAGCATAGAGCTCTAACTTAATAAACAGAGAAGCTCATGGATATTCTAGCTATTTACTGTAACCTAGAGAAAAAGCCTAAAATTGAATGTAAGCACTCAGATTAAAATGTAAGTACTAAGATTAAAATAGGTGTAGTTTGCATGAGGAGTGTGGAAGGGAACAGAGAGATGAGACAGACAAGAAAATCTTCAGAATGACCAGGAAAATGGGTACGGTGATGGACTCAGCCTAACAGTTAAGAACTGCTAGGAAGTGGCTGACCCAACATGCCAGAGCACACACTTTGGAACAAAGGTTAAAAGACTGCTGGATGTTTAGATGTGGGTGTATATATAAATAATTGTATACTAACTTATATGGATCTGAGTCTTCACAATGGACCCTTCTTACATGTTGACTTAGGAATGGATCTTTTTAATGTATCACTATTATTTTGTTCCCTTTAGAAACGAAAGTATAAGAATAAGAATACAAGTATGTTTGGGAAGGAGATGAATTCGTTTTTTTTTTTTCATTTTCATTGACCTTAAATATATCATAACTGATAAGACAAACTAAGACCAATTATTCTGTTAATAAGATTAACATTATTGGTGTAGTTCATAAAGCTTTTCAAAATGTCACACACAACTTAATCTTGAAGCTAAGGTTTTTCTGAATTATGGGAGAGTTAATAGTACTTCTCCTTCTATTAATTTTGAGGTGCTAGAATCAGTAATTTATAGAAATAAACTATTTCAATAAATGTGTAGGAGCCAGTAAACAATTACCATTAGTGCTGTTGGGAGCAAATTAGAAGTCTACTTCATTGGAAGTAAATATAAAAGGCAGGTTACGCTAGAATAATTACAAATAGTAATTCTACTAGTTACCTATTGCAGCATAGTACAGTACTCCAAATCTTAACATCTTAAAACAACAAGCATTTATTATCTCACAGTTTCTTGAGAATTCTAGGTTTGATTTAGTGAGGTGCTTCTGGCTCAAAGACTTCCATGCAACTAGAGTCCAGCTCTCCAGCTGGCCTCTGATCTCATTGGAGAGTGTTACCAGTAGGGATTTATTGCTGTTCCTCTTGCTGGTATGGGTTTCTCATAACCCAGGCCTCTCTCACACAGGTCTGATTTATGATATGGCAGCTAGCCTTCCACAGGACAGGCAACCCAAGAGACCTCAAGAGAAAGCCCAAGTGAAAACCATGGCCTTTTAAATCCAATTTGTGCACTTGATGTTCCATTTCCTCCTCATCCATAGAAGAAAATCAGTAAACACAGCCCATACCGAATGAGAGGAAATTACATAAGAATGCAAACACCAGCGCCTAGAGATCACTGGAAGCTAACTACAAGTGTTTTTCTTCTCTTCTCACTTCAGTAATTTCTAGCCTTGTCGGTGTTGGGTATTACTTTATAAAAGCAATAAAATGCAAAAGAAAGTACTCTTGTGACAGAAATGAATCAGAAACCCACCCAACAGTTTGAAAGGGAGGAGGAAGGAACACAAGAATCAAACTATGATGGAGGGGATGATATACATTGATATTATAATGAATCCCTTTATAGGACAAATACATAATTCAAAAATAAAATAAAAAAGGAAACATCGATTCAAAAGGACAATTCTCTTTAGAGCTTTCTTAGTAAGATGATTGAATTGGGTGAACCCAGGCTTTATTATTGACTTTCCTAATTACATATTAGATCATGTCATGAATCTAAATTGGAGATCATTAACCTAACAGAATTTTGCACAGCTCGCAAGTTTGGAGCATTGAAAAATTGAAATACCAATCCCACTGATGGGGATAGGAATTCATCAGTTTTTCTCAGGAATGTGCTTAACACGCTCCTTCTTCTTCTGTCCTTGCTAGTATGCTTGAGAGTTCAAACCGACTTGATGAAGAACACAGGCTGATCGCCAGGTACGCAGCAAGACTGGCAGCAGAATCCTCCTCGTCTGTAAGTAGCTAGAGTAAAAGGACATATCTGGAATCCTTGACTTTCCTATGTCATGTCCATTATGTCACTATGGTTGGTGCCCATAACCAAACTAATTAGCATGAATCTCTTGTTGATTTGTTTGTTGCCATATTCATGACATCATGGCAGTGGATTCCCAATTGGAAAATGACAGACTTGAAGGGTAAAGCAAAACTAGTTACGTTACTGTCCATGCACACATCTCTGTAGACAGAGGGCATGATGCCATTAACATATGGGACTAGCCATATAGCCAAGGGAACCTGAGTCCCAGCTCTCTGTAATCTGCCATAAAGCTGTTTCCTTAACTGTAAATAGATCTACCTCTAATTATTATATATGGCAGTGCTATCTTGTTATTAGAGTCAAATGAGAAAATAAGTTATAAAAAGGTAGCAAAGACTTACAGTAGTCCCCCCCAAATGATACCCCACAGATAAAATTCATTTCTCAGAAATGTGTCTGGCTCCCCCAGTGGACTCAGTTTTTATTATCTATCATTATGGACAACTCAGATTGTTTATTTTAAAATTCTGGGTTTTTTTAGTTTTATCATGAAAGATAAACATGATCTTTCTACATTCTTCATGGTAATATGAAGCTGAAGAAGCATTCTTTACCCTACTCTGAGCAGGGAAAGCATTCACCATTTACCCTTGACTTGGTCCCCTGCTTCGTTTACTTTATCTCCCTAGTCCCATTGGACATTTGAATTAGTGGTTCTCCGTAGAGTGCTAATTCTCTGTGTGCTTATAATTATTTGTATATGCACTAACTTTTCCAGTCTTCGGTCCTTGTTTCCTTGAGAACATTAGTTAGTTTCATTCTTGGTCTATTGCTATCATGTATAAACATTTTTGATCTGCCACAAGAAAGTTACCATTTGCATTATTTTTCCCCTTATCAACCTCTCCATGATCATGTTTGAACAATAGTACAATTTGCTAAATGAATCATAATTATTAAGCTGCCATCCCAGTTACAAAAGAGATAGGAAGATTATTTCTTTGGGTTCATTTCTCTATCTTCTAATGGAAACTCCCGCATCTTCCCTCCCCATATTCTTCTATTGGATTATTGCATTTCAAAGAACATTCTGCCTTACCACCACTCATCGTTCTATGTCCTGTGGTCCAGCCAATTCTAAATAAAACACAAAGAACCCTGGAGTTTACTCATCTACTCTCAATAGGTCAGCTCAGTGGTCATCTTAATAATGCAGCCATTTTTCCTTTGTGTTACTATTGAACCATGTACATACCTTATATAATATATATATTCCTGATATATTATGTATATAATATATACATATATCCATTGAGGACAAGAGACATTTGCTCCAATATTTGATATGTAGTAAGTATGGAATAAAAATGTATTGAATAGAAGAATGAATATACTGATATATTTGAGTTAGCCTAGAAGTTAAGGAATTTCACTCAAATGAGAACAATCATATACCTTCAAGTTCAAAACTTGAGTCTGAAATACTTCCTATAAAACAAGGAAATAGCCAATGAGTTCAGTGAACATATTTTCATGTGCGCCAATGCCAATGCTTGAACTCAGGACTTCATGAACTCATTTAGTTTTTCCCCCTCAAGGCTGGTGCTCTACCACTTGAGCCACACCTTATATTTTCAATTGAAACATAATTATACATAGATTTAGGGCACAGTACACTATTTTGGCACACATTTGGCTATAAAGAGCCTATCAGGGTAATTAACATATCTATCAATTCAAACGTTTATCTTTTCTTTGTATTGGAAGCAACACAATCCTTTTGTGGACATTTGAGTGACAAAATGACAAAAATGAGTGAACAGTAATTCTAAAGAAAGAGTTGTGTCAACAGTAACACATTCATAAACCTACTTATACTGAGAGAGCAAATGCAGGAAGGAGCATTGTAAGAGTACAACAGTTTTCCAGAGACTTCAGGTGGGGAAGGTTCAAGAAACAATCTTTCTTCCTTTGTGTATTTGCTGCCAAAGTTCTGTTCTGCTCTCCATTGCAAGGATAAGTTCTAGATCTGCAGAAAAGCTGGTTCTTGGTGAAAGAAGAGTTAATACGTTGTATGTATTTGCCAGTTTTTGTTTAGCTAGAAAGTTTCCTCTTCCTTGCCTGCATATCCCATGACTGTTGCCTTCCTAAACATCTGTGGATGTACATTCCCAAATATTAACTGTGTGCACAACTTATTTTACAGCAACCAACACAGCAGAGAGGCGCTCCTGACATCTCCTTCACCATTGATGCAAATAAGCAACAAAGGCAGCTGATTGCAGAACTAGAAAATAAGAACAGGTAAGGCTTTGTAAATATGTTGGCTTTTTGACCAACATATATTCTCATTAATAATCTATGTCTTAAAGTCTTAGAGGCTTTCTTGTATGTCTGTTTAAAGGATTATATTTTGAGTTGTTGACTACTATCCTTGGAAAAGCTGATATATAAAAAAATACACAAATAAGCTGATCTACAAAAGCATCATTAGGAAAACTCTTTCACTTGCTGTTTCTTTTTCTGTGCACACCATCATCACTCAGTGGTTCAGACCAAATATCTTTATGTCCACTTCATCTGACAGTCCTTTCTCTTTCTGTTAATTTCTATCTTCATGATACATCCCCAAACTTCCCATTACCACCAACACTCAATCTAACCTCTTGTTTAAAAAAAAAAAAAAACATATATCATGGCTTAGAATGGTGGTTCATTCCTATAATCCTAGATATTCAGGATGTAGAAATTTGCAGGACCATAGTTTGAGGACAGCCCAAGCAAACGTTCATAAGATCACATCTCAACCATAAAGCTGGAAGTGATGGTGTATAACTGTCATGCCAGCTAGGTGGGAAGCATAATCATGGTCCAAGCCAACCCCTACAGAAATATAAGATCCTATTTGAAAACTAACAAAGCAAAAAGGACTGGGAACTTGGTTCAAATGGTAGAGGACTTGAGTTCAAATTACACTATTGCCAAAATAAGTATTTATTTAGAAAACGTATATCCTGTTATTCTCAGGAAAGCCCTCCAGTGATTTTTCCATCCCACTTTGATTAAAACCTAATCCAATTATGGTCTTCAAGGCCCTCCCACAGCTGTTTTTCTAACCTCAGTTCTCCTTGCACATCATATTCCAGCCTTGCTCAGCTTCTTTTGGTCTTCAGTCTAGAAAGCCCTTTCTGTAGGCTGGAGGGCATCCCCTTATCCAGGGCTCAATTCATCTGTCGTTTCCTGCATCCAACCTCCCTATTTGTCTTCACTGCTTCCTTCCTCAGCAACCACTGTTCCACTTGTCTCTGCTAAAATAATCACATGTATATGTTTGCTCCTTGCTTGTCCGCTGACTTCCCTGATGGAAATAGAAGTTCTTTGAGAACCAAGGCCATACCAAATATCCTGAGACTAGAGATCCCTGCCTGGTACATTGTAGATGCTCAGTAAATATATGCTGACTTAAAATTGGCAAATAGCTGACTCAGATATCAAATCCAGTGCTGAGTGAGCAATGAAATGAGTTGCATATTCTGTACTGCTTTGAATGTCTTCATGCCTAATCCCATTTTGAAATGCTGTTCTGAAACACTAATATCAGCATGGAAGTTACCGAAAGACAAAGAAGAGGAAGATGTAATAACATAAGGCCTGATATTTTGGGGATCAAAGATCAAGGCATTGTTTAACTTCTGTAAATAAAAATTTTCTAGTAAAGAAAAATACCTCCCCCTTAATTGTCCCAGTACCTGGCTTTCATCATTAGGAGGACCCAACTTTGAATGGAAATAGCTTCATAAAAGTGATTTTATGGCTTCATAGCCTTTGAGACTACTACTACCTGCTGACTTCTCCAAAGAAGTGGGTCATATGTAACCCCTCTTAATTTGCCAAGTAATAGGAAGCAAGCATTTAAAAGAACAAAAAAAATATGCATGATGAGTAATTAGAAAAGCTTCTTACGTCTGCCACCTGGAGGCTGTAGTTGCATGCTATTGATCCTATCTTTGGACTTCATTTTGGTAATTTGTGATCACAACATGTTTTAGAGAAAAGGGACTAAGGGATGGGATTATGTCTGTTAGAAACTCAGGATAGCATAGCCAACTATATCAGAATTTGTGCAGGGTAGTTGCCAGTCTGTGAATTATTCTATTTCATATAACACTGATTATGCTTACTGTGTGAAAATAATCGTGCTGATTCAGAGAAAAAAAACATTGAGAAAAGAGGATAATGTCAAATGAGACATGCTAATTACAATGTAGTAGGAGAGCAGTCAGGGGAGTGAGAGAGTCAGATGTGAGCAAAAAGCAATGAAGAAATCATGTGTGTGAACCAGCCAGTGTGAATGTTTAAAGTCAACCATGTGAAGAATCACGTGGACTTTCTGGTTCCTGGTTTACCTGTTCCTCTACCTCTCCAGAGCTGTCTTCTGTATCCAATGAGATATTGGGATAATACACTGAAGGAGAAACTGAGGCTTCCTTTAAAGAAATACTTCAGGGAGACCTACCCCCATGAGAGGCTCTATATCATTCAAAAATTATCAGGGATTGCCATGAATGTTTAAATGATCTGGCTATGCTTTGATGTCTTTTTTACTGCTCATTTTCTGGACTTTTTGTGTTGCTCTCTCTCTGAAAGCATGCTTATAGAACCATAGAGAAAAAAAAAAGAAAGAAAACAGAAAGAGTTTTATCCTGCTCCTGAGTTCTTTTATAACTCCTAGAGTTTTCCACCTCACCCCTGAGAACCAACTGGTATATCCTAAACTCCTTCTAAGTCAGCAGCCTAACCTCATACTCCACAAAGACCCTAGGGCTTCCCAGATGCTTGTCCAAGTCAGAGGTCCAATGGTCTCCATAGTTACAATTAGTCCACTAGACAGATCTCTGCAACAAAGAGGAAAATAGAATTCCTTACTTTATTTCACAATTGTGTTTACTATAGGTAATTCATGAACATGTGTGTTGGTCAGCCTGTCCGTCACTGTAACAAAAATACTTGAGAAAACTAACTTTAAAAAAAAGAAATGTTTATTTTGGTCCATGCTTTCAAAAGTTTTTCCATTCATGGTCATTTGACTCCATTGTTTTTTTGGCATATGGTAAAGTAATATGTCGTAGAAGAAGCCTGTAGTGAGAGTCTAGTCACCGCATGACATCCAGGAAATAGGGAGAAAGACAGACAGACAGACAGAGACAGAGACAGAAACAGAGACAAAGGAAACTGGTATCTGTATCTCTTTAAGAACATGTTTCTATCTACCTAACCTCCTTACACTAGGCCTCATTTTCTAAAGTTCCCATCACTTCTCAGCAGTGCTACAGGCTGAAGATCAGTCTTTTAATCTACAGGCCTGTGTGGGATACCCCAGATCTAAACTATCATAAATGTCAGAGATAATCTTTCAAAGAGATTGCTTTCTTATAGCACCTTTGGAGGCACCATTTGGAGTTAGTATGAAGGGGTCACAGGACTCTTCAAATTGCACTGTATTCGTCATTGCCTGCATAGGCTTCACCAGTCAAAGCATGTACTAGGAATGAGACTGTCTGATACACAGGATTAGAGCTATCTAGCTTTAGTTCAAGTCACCTCTACCACCTACTTGTTGAACTTAAGCAAGTCTTCCAATTGGTCCATGACTTGATTTCCTCATCCATGAGCCAGAAATAATACAAGTATCACATATCTGTAATAGGATTAAATAAAATAAGATTTTTTAAAGACAGCACTATTTTGACCATGTATGTTATATATCAGTTCATTTATTTTCATCAAAACTGCTTCTTTCTTTTCTGTTTTTCCATGATGGCTCAGTCATGGTTCTGTTCTTAGAATCTACAAAGGAAAACTGGCCAGAAGCATAGAAACCAATATATAAACACTAAAGGAGATCTTGGAAGTTTCAGGCTGAGCTTTATGGGATCCTGGGGACCTTTAAAAAGAGGAGGGCTACCAAGCAGAAACTCAGGCCATCTCAAACCTCAGCAGCTCCCTCTGAATTGTCCAACATCGAATATAGATATCTATGGAAGAGCTTTTTAAAAGAAAAACTTCTACCTTGAGACAACAATGGAGACAAAAACGAAATTAAAAAATCACTGAAATATTGTCCAGTATTCTCACTATAATTGTGACATGTATAATGACCTACTGGTAATTAACCTCTTGATTCTGATGTGTTCATAAAGCAGGCAGCTGTGAATCAACCCGTCCACTGGAAAAACAAAAAGTTATTCTCTTTTGGTTATTTTGAGATAGGTAATAATTTGTTATAGAATAGTTTTACTCCTTAGCCAAGTGCCAGTGCCTTAGACCTGTAATCTTAGTTACTCAGGAGGCTAAGATCTGAGGATTGAGTTTCAAAGCTAGCCTAGGCAGGAAGTCTATGAGACCCTTGCCTTTAGTAAACTACCAAAAAGCCAGAAATGGATCTGCAGCTCAAGTGGTAGAGCACAAGCCTTGAGCAAAAGAGCCCAGGGAAAGCAGCCAGATCCTGAGTTCAAGCCCCAGGATTGACACACGTTTTTAAAAAAGGCCATACTCTTTTGCTGTAGAACACTAAATGTATCCCTTACTAATAAGTATTTTGGTGCCCAATCAAAGATTTGTTTAAAAGTCTCCAACTCAAAGAAATGCTAATTACCCTGATTTGTTTGTACACATGTATCAGATGATCACGTCATACCCCATGTGTACAACTATTGTTTCAATTAAAATGTCTTTTAAAAGCACAGAAAGCCATCCTCCAGGTTCACCAAGCTTAACTTCCTTTCTCAGCAGTTTGCTCTGTCTCACTGGCTTTGTGCTTTGTATGAGGCAGCAGAGTGATGTTCACCAGCCCCCAAGAATATGTGACTTGTAACCTTGCTTAATGGCTTCTGATTCACTTAGGGATCATTTGCCTTTAGCTAGTCGCATATCATTCATGGCTAGCCTAATGCTCACCCAAATGCAGGGCAGCCCAGGCCCAAACATCAATAACAGGCTGACATGTCTCACCCCAATAGCATTTGATGTCACACACACTCAATTACAGTGAATCCTTTTAAAAACACTTCCAAGGCTGCCCTTGCTGAGATCCATTGTTAAAGCAGAAGATGTTAAGTTTAAAAAAGAAAGAAAGAAAAAGAAAGAAATCTGCCAACCTTGGGTTTCTTACTCAGTGAGAAGAATTTTATTCTTGGTGAGAGAAAATGAGGTTATTTAGTTTCCTCATATGGACACCATTTATCCTTATTTTCCCTTCAAGCACCTCTCAGTAGCTGTGAGTCCTTTTTGGTGTCAGAGAGTGGTCATAAATAATGTGAAATGCATTTTTGTCTCACAAGCAGAGCACTCATCAAAGTTAGACACAGGACCACGGCACCACATGACTTCCTGGAACGATGGTGGGTGCTGGGTATAACTCAGTGGCACACTCAGAGCCTTCATGGCATAGACATGCTGGAGATGAGATCATCCTCTCCTCACCCACAGCATCCAGCCAGCTTCAGTCACAGCCTCAGAAGCTCAGAGGTCGTTGCTTAGTAAAGGTCAGCTGTGCTTCCAAACATAGGATGATCCCTTTTCCCTTGGTCCTGCTGGGCCTTGTTGGTCCACATGTAAGTATCCTGAAAGTTAGCTGGCTGCGATTTCTCACCTTCCTCTTCTCTCCCAAGAGAAATCTTACAGGAGATCCAGAGACTGCGGCTAGAGCATGAACAAGCCTCTCAACCAACGCCAGAGAAGGCACAGCAGAACCCCACCCTGCTGGCAGAACTCCGGCTCCTCAGGTAAGCGAGGGCATCCAAGTCAACTCAGGGCACATAAACCTTTGAGATCACTAATACAATCTAACCACATACAGCCAGAAAATGGACCTGAACTGACACAGCTTCTAACATCGGTTTGTTTTTATTAGCACACTTTTTATTGGGTGATTTAGAGAGAAGTTTATATTTTATTCTTTCTTTCAACAAAAAGAAAAGGATAGTGTAGTCTAGATCAGAAACCAAGTGTCTCACTAGAAAAAAACATTAACAGCTCTTCAGAGGTATTTGACCACCACATTATTTGTTGCAAATGCTCACAAAACAAAGCACAAATGCGTAAATAAATACAACAGCCTCCTAAATTAAAAAATTTGCATGTATCCTATCAAAAGGAATCTGATTTTTCTCTTCCTACTAGCTTTACATACAGATCTTTAAAAACAGGCACTATACGTTCTTGTTCTGCAAATGATAGAAAGGCCTAGTCTTTTCAAGTCTCTCATCATAGAATATTGGAGTAAAGGAAACGTTGAAGGTCATCTGACTCAACCTCTGAGTGTCAGTGTGCTTCTCAGAGTCAGAAAACTAAAGAATAGCCAGCCTTGAATGAAGACAATATTTGTTCCCATTATACCCACTTGCAAAATCCAAGAGTCACTCACTGTAGGTGCCTCGCATCAGACTGACTTAGCATTATACCCTGAATATGGCAGGTACTCAAGTGCATCTATGTAATAAACAACACAAAAGTAAATTCAAAGGCATTCCCTCATAGAAACATCATAATGATCTTTCACAAGGCACTTTAATTAGCAGGAATTACAATCCTTCAGTTAAGGTGCTGTGTATAGTCTAGATAGATCAGTAACCCTGAATCATACATTTCTCAGAAACTCTTACTGGAAGCAGCACCATTAAAAAGAAACTAAATTAAGCATGTTCTGTGGGGTTCTATTCAGATTTTACCAAGTCCCTGTTAATTGTAGTTATGGATGCTTCCATGCTCCCTTCCAGTCATGTTTTGCAACCCATGAGCACTGTGGCCCACCTGGCTCAGGCTTCTGGTCTTGTCTCTGTTTCCTCTAAAATCCACTTGATATGTGAAAAAGAAATCTGAGGGCTGGGAAGGTGGCTCAGTGGTAGAGTGCTTGCACGAGGCCCTGGGTTTGATTCCTCAGCACCACATAAGCAGAAAAAGCTGTAAGTAGAGCTGTGGCTCAAGTGGTAGAGCACTAGCCTTGAGCTGAAGAGCTCAGGGACAGTGCCCAGGCCCAGAGTTCAGGTCCCACAACCGGCAAAAATAGAAAATAAAAAAGAAAAAGTAATCTGAAGAACCCACCTGTTAGAGGCTGCTAAGTGTGGAAGGCTCACTTTGTTCTTTTGATAAACAAAACTAATTTTACAAAAGAAACACATTCTTCCTTCTTGGGAGTTTCTGAACTGCTCTCATCACTTGTACTAGAAGTGTTTGCATATTTTTTGCAATTATTCACATTCCCTGTTACCTAGAAGAGGTAAAAAAAAAAAAAAAGAAAAGAAAAGAAGGAAAATGGGATACTTTATATCGTCCACATCATATGCCATTAAAAGTGAATGGCGCTAGGTACCAGTGAGGCTGAAATCTGAGGATTGTAAATGGAAGCCAACCTGAGCAGAAAACTTCTTGAGACTCTTATCTCCAATCAACCACCAAAAAACATCGAAAATGGAGCTGTGAGCCAAGTGGTGTAGGACATAAGCTTTGAGCAAAAAAAAAAAAAAAAAAAAGCCCAGGCTCTGAGTTCAAGCCCCAGGATTCACACACACACACACACACACACACACACACACACACACACACACACACACACGTAAAAGGCTCCTTCATACACACCTACACACAAGTTCAAATTGAAATCAGACCTAATGAACTCGGAAGTAATACTGAGTAAGCTAACATTGGTCATCTCTTTCATTGTTCATCCTATTCTCTATCAGAAGGATAATGGCTAGGGATTTTTCATAAGCATTTCATTGATTCCCACACACACATACCTCAAGGTAACTTTTGCCTTTGAAAGTATTTTTTTTTCCATTTGATGCTTAGGAAATGTCTAGGAAAGCATGTGAATGTGCTCTGGTCCATGGTGATATGCTTTCTGTCTGATATTTCTTCCTCCTTGATCAAGCTGTCTTGGGACGCACTGAAAAATTCTAACCACCCTTCTCACCCTACATTGTGGGGATCCCATGGCCCAAGACCAAAGCTATATCAAGGAGGCTAGATTTGCTAAGAACTTCTATGTGATTGTTCCTGGCTTTCAGCTGGTGACTTAGCTGATTTTTTTTTTACCGGCCTCTATATACTAAGCATATTTCTTGTGCCTGAAGGAAGAAGAAATACACTCCCTTGAAGGGTAACTTTCTAGATACTGATAAATCATATTCTCAGCATCAAATATTTTCCCAATTGGAGGATTTCACAGATATATTATATCCCAGATTAAGAAACCCTGTTGTGAGTATGCTATGTTTTATCCTCTTGTCATCTCAAGACAAGAAATCCAAAACAGTGGCCTCTTGCAAAGTGTCCTTTGGCCTTGGGTCACATAAACAACATCCACAGGAGCTCCTTATTGTAGCTGCCCTAGAGATCTCTTCTCTGAGCCCAACTTATGAAAAACTAAAAGAAAAAATGTCTTTCATTTAGGGACAAAGGAAAAGGAAAAGATCTTTGTTTTTCATGAATGTATACTTTTATGGTTATCTTACAATTCTATGACCTTTCTAAATAATCATGTTTCCCTTTTTATTTTAGCCACACACAAAAAAAAAAAAAACGAAGAAAAAATCTGAAAGCTATCTTTATAGCCCACATGGGCATTATTGTGCTCCTTTAATAAATAAGGAAATAGAACTATATATTTAAGTATAACTTTCAGACACAATTCTCCTTCACCTCTAAGTTTTCATGTATATAAACTTTTTGCTTCTTTACCATGATACCATCTTCGAATTCAGATAGCATAGACATACATTTATCTCATATATAAATTATATTAAAATGTTGCCAATTGTCCCAGCACTATACTAAAAGAAAGCAGGTTCTAACACACACTCAAAATTAAAAATAACCTGACAAGGTCAGGCATGACATACACAGCAATAACCCCAGCACTCAAGAAGCTAACGCAGGAGAATTTTAATTTTCAAGTCTCCCTAGCTGTTTAGGAAGTTTCAGCAGCTTGAGCTGGAGAGCGAGATTGGCTCAGAAAATAAATAAATATATGAAAAACAAACAATCTTAGAGAATTTCAGAATAGAAATGGACATACATCTCTGTAGGGAAAAAATATTACTAATGTTTATTTTCTCCTGTCTTCACCACATACTTGTCATTGAACCCACATTAGGTAACTGTTGGTACAAAACACAGCTGTAGAGGATTTTGAACAGACACTATTAAATCTTCCTAATTAAATCCAGTGTCATTGCTTTAAGACCTCACTCTAATAAGACAAAAGTACAATAAAGTTGATTCATTATTGAGTAGTCTAACTTAATACTAGTTAACTTTTTAAGTATGTGTTTTGTATTTGTGCCTGAGTGTTTCTTAACTGCAACATTAGCATTTTGCTTTGGCTGTCTCAAGGAGCTCCTGTACCCAAAGGCCAAAAATTCTAGAGTAGTATTACATAACTGTAACCCCTCTGTACATCACCTTTACAATAACAATAAAAAATGCCAAAAAAGGAAAAAAAAAAACTGGAACTAAATTAGAAGTATGATTTACTCTTGTCCCAGGGCTTCCTGTAGATGTGCTTGGACACCATAGGCAGATATGGTCAAAGAAAGACAACTCATAGATTTGTCCTTGAGGAATATTTTTGAGTAGGGCAACAATTACAAAATTAAAACGCCTCAGCCCAAGGAGATGAATAATAAGATACCACTAGAGCCTATAAATCATGGCGTTCCTCATCTTCTAGATTCAGAAAAAGAGAGGATTGTACATAAAATTAAAGGAACAATTGCTTCAGGAGTAAGTGGCAGGGAAAACTCTAGAAATATTCAGAAAGCATTGAGATGCTTATAAATTTCAGATTCATAATTCATTGTACAGTATGCCTATAAAAAAGCAAATTTAGAATGTTTCATTTATAACCCTAACCTGTCCTCCTATAAATATTTTTCAGCTGAATGAGTCATAAGCCTAACTCAGAATGACACTTTTATATTGTCAATTTTTCATGTCATTGTCCCTCTGTAGCTCCTCTTAATATGATGTCTGTGTCAATGAGTGATTTCCACTCACATGGAATATATACATGGTCAAAGAATCTCCATGTTTTTAAAATATAAGTACTAATATTTCACATACAAACAAAAACCTTTGGGACAGGACACAAAAATGTATGTACTACTTATTCACTAATGTCCCTGAAAAATAATGGAATTGAAATCAATTTGTAAAGTAGGAGTACACCAGAGAAATGTGAGCCATTAATATACTTTACCATACTGCTTTATTTCTTTACCTTTGTAAAGATTTCTTGGTACCTGTTAGTGTCAGCAAAATGACAGAGGGTAGATTGTCCTTAGAGCTTAACGTTCTTGCTGACAGTTGAATAGACATTCCACAAGACAAACACAAATTCTCTATGTTCTTTTCAGTTGTAGGATGATTATAGAGAGAACTTCCTTATTCTGGCATCACACTATGAAAAACAAATTAAAACCAAGTAATTTAGATTGCTGGTAATAAGTATGCACCATTAATATCTCACTTCTAAAGGGCACTCCACTGCGTCTGTCACTAATATCAATTCACAGAGGATGGAAGTGATCTAAAATGTATACTTTCAAGTCAGATTTCCCAATACAAAGGCAAACCCTATTTTCTGTGAATTTACAAACGTGGAAGATTGTTACTTTTCAGTGACAATTGGGCTTTTGTTGATTGTTGGAACCAGTGTCACAGGACACAGCCTGCTATACTGTCAGTATGCAGAGAATAGCTCATTGCATGGTTAAGCAATTCAGGATAGAAGGACAGAAATGCCTGAAAGGACTTTAATTTGGTTTAAGTATAGTCCAATTGTTTAACAATTAAAAGTACACATTTAAAGATGGTGGAGGCCTGGTAATCCTGTCAAAGACCTGGCCATGCCCTTTTCCAGGTAGGCCGACAGTCCCACAGAACTGGAAGGTGTGATTAGCTCAGGGAATGAAATACTGTTTCTGATGAGAGTTGCTTTCTTCATAGACAGCGCAAGGATGAGCTAGAACAGAGAATGTCTGCTCTCCAGGAGAGTCGGAGAGAGCTAATGGTCCAGTTAGAAGGCCTCATGAAGCTACTAAAGGTAAGACATTTCAAATAAATGTTTCCTATATCTTCTATTGTGGCATTTAATTTTTTGCACATAATGTGCAATGGCTTTTCCAATTATTATATGTGTTTTTGTTCATTTCAATTTTAAAAAAATGTATCCCATCTGTGTGGCTTTCACAAGTCACACAACTTCTGTGGGTCCCAAATACAAACTGTAAATGTGAATATTTCCTGAATCTTCCCAGATAACATATTTAACAAGGTTAACTATAAAAGACTCTATAAATAATACATTTTTATTGGGAGTGGAATTCCACTTGTAAGAAAGCCTTCACCAGAGAACAAAAAAGTACTGAGTCAGCAGTAGTAGAATGTCATTGTCAGCCCAGAAGCATGAGTGCTCTGTGCCATGTGTAAACAAGCATGAACTAATGTAGATTGGATCTACAAAGAGCCACAAGCAGGAAGTGAAACTTCTTATAGGAGAATAGTGAAGGGACTATCCCCAGGCAGCTCAGGGTGAGACAGGATATCCTGATTTTCAATCATGGATCCCTCACATCACCAACTCTCCATCATTTGTTGTTTTTGGCCCTGCCCTTTCCTCCTCTTCCTTCTATCTTTCCCTTTTTTTCTTCCTTTTTTTTCTTTTGCTTTATTCCTCTTCCTTACTTATTTTCTTCCTTTCTTTTTCTGTCTTTCCTTCTTTGTCTCATGTTTTTGAAAAATATTTTCTGAAGACTTTCATCCCAGACCTTGCAGTGATAATATTTTCTTTTGTTTCATTTGTTCTATTTTATTCCTTAGTCAATTTTTTCCCCTGTTGGTGTCCTCTTTAATAATCCATTTGAAGAATGCTGTTTGTTCAACAGAATTTACTTTTCTACAAAATGTAGAATTCAAGTTGGATTTGATTGTTTTTATTTTGTTTCTGTTCTTTGTACTATCGGTGAGAAGACAGGACTGGATTGTTAATAACCTGCTGCTGTTTCTAGCTAACTATCTATTCATTACAATAAAAAAGTTCATTTCCACTTTCCTTTACAAGTGTGTCAAATAAAGAATCTTAAATCCATCTTTCCTTTTAATGGCAGACAAGACACTTTGACAAGCATCTTCTGCTGGTGCTTCTATAATTTCTGACACCATAGGTATAGGATGGAATGGAATGGAATAGAATAGAACAGGGTAGGGCAGGGTAGGTTAGGGTAGGGTAGAATAGGGTACAGCAGGGCAATGGACCACCAGTCATCTTGGTATCAGCATGGCCCAACTGAGTACAGCCTTTGTACAAAAATGTACAAATAGTGGGAAAACGAGACAGATGGTATTGAGATGGTTGGATACATGGAGGAGAGGACTGGGTCTATAGATTCAAACACCTAAGCAGGCTTGGAAGTATAGTCACTTAGATGGCAGAAACCGGGGCCTGCCTTCAAAGCTATGTTCATGTTTCCCCATCCTGTCTTCCTTAACACTGTGTTCTTGCTCTTATGGGAACCCCGGGTAATCTAACTGTTATTGATTCAATCTTTCTGTAGGAAGAAGAACTGAAGCAGGGAGTAAGTTATGTCCCCTACTGCAGGTCTTAACTAACAGTGGAGGGGCCTGCCATCCTGCTGTTTTTCTCATTGCTTTTGCCTCTAATGTATGTTCATGCTTCAGTTTGGAAAGAAAAAAAATCATACTAATTTGCTTCCTTTACAACATAGTGCTTGAATTGAGATGATAAAATTTAGCATCTTTCATAACAATCACTGCTGTCAGCCCCCAACAGAAGACCTATTACATGTTTTAGAAGTGGACACAAATTGTAATGTGTTGGACACATTTTAGATCCCCAGGGTTATGTTTCAAGCCAGTTTTATGCTTTTCTGAGTTGTTGGTTCAGACCTTTCTCTTAATAAAAAGACAGTCCCTAGAGAGTTACCCTGAGCTCAGTGTTACCTCAAAAGCCAAGAATCCAGAAGCAAAAACCCCACCATCTCTCACTCAATGCAGATGTGATTCAGTTTCCATTTAACTGAAAAGATATGGGAGCTCTTTAAGAATCAGACAACTGAATCTCTTTGCATCCTGTAATTATTAGACCTGATACTCCCACTGCTCTCCAAAATGAGCTAAGTCTTGTGAAGGATTTAATTGCCCACTTCTTGTCTTTTGGGAATCTTCACACACACACACACACACACACACACACACACACACACACACACACACACACACACACACAAGAATCCCATTAGTTGGTTGACAATAATCTATAAAGAACAGGTACTTTTTGATCTTTTTCTTGTCACCAAGAAGTTCATAAGGTCATTAGCACAATGTGACTCTCTAAACATGTTCTACACTGAAATCTTGCCTCTGGACCTGTGGTCAGGTTCAGAAACCAGCAGAGAGAGCAGCATACTCAAAAATATATATATTAAATCAACTTAAAACAAAAGCAGCTTTATGTCCAATGCATGTACCAAACTGTGTATGACAATATATCCCACTTGCTAGTATTATTTTTTAAAGTTTCACATTATATCCATGGATCATTTAGAACTAAAGCCTGTCCACTTTCAACATACCTTTTAATTTTTCTGTATGCTCTTTTTTCTATTATTCATTGTGTGTGTTTGTGTGTAACAAAATGCTGGACACATTTTTATTCTTCATTCCCATGGTGTGTAAAAAGGAAAGTGTTAAACCAATCTGTAATGTCAGACAATAAAGATGATATACTACATTATTTTGTACTTTGTGGAACAAAATTTACTTCACTAAAATTAAGTCAAATTCTAATGAAAGTCTACCTGGGTTAAGAGCACACTGCATTTATAGCCTGTATAACTGCCCATCATTACATACATGGAGTGTGGCTATTGTATTTACAACATACTTAGATCATGGTAGAGAAGAATGCTTATTTTGTGGTACTTCTCCTTGTAAATGGCCTCTTTTCTTTCCTGTCTCATATTTTGCATGTGCAATAGAAAGAAAAAACTGCTCAGCTTCCTCCTAGTGGGGAGAGAGGGCAGATCATCCTAGAGTTCTTCAATCTTGCTGTAGTTGTCTTAGGGATCCATTCCCCTACCATTTCTTAGGCAGTGCATTCTTAAAGATCTCCATGTACCAGGAAATTAATAAATAGATGGATGCACAGCATCCTTAGGGTGGTATTCCTGGTGCCTCACCTTTCAACCACTCTCCACTGAGCTTTTCCTAACTCCTGCATTTCGAGGCTTTCCCCACAAAGACTACAGAAGCATTGGTCTAGGCTATCCTATCAGTCGGTAACATATTGTCTGGTTACTGGAAGAGTTGGCTTATGTTTTTATTCTTAGCTATTTGTTTGATACTCAAGCCTCTCTTCAAAAGCCACCCAAGGCAGTGCTACAACAAAAATGTAGAGCACGTGACTCCGTTATTGAAATAGAAAAAAAATTAAGCTAAGGATAAGAAAATGGGACTATTTCCATTCATACAGGACTGGGTGTTACTCTGTTCTTTCTGGCAGTGAAGCAGAAAAGGGAAATGTGACTGATGGTGGAATAAGTACAGAAATACCACTTCTCAAGAGATCAAAAATCTGTGCAGCATGAAATAGAAAAAGAGTCTTCACTCCAAGCTTTATAGAAGGAGTGTGAATAATAAAGTAGAAAAATGTAGTCATAACTTTCATGTGACTGTTTCTTATACTGACCTTCAGTCAAAGCTAATGACAGATCCCCATAAATCCCAGCCCTATCATGGCAGTTCTTTATGGAAATGAATGCTTTCCAAATCTATCAACTTCTCATGGTATAACATGATCTAAGGAGAGAATTTAGAGGTTGTAGGCTGGCATCTGCTTCTAAATTCTGTTTTTATTTATGAACCTTTCCCAAATGAGGACATTTTCTTTGTAAAATCGAAAGTAAAACACCCCATACCAAAAAAAAATGTGCTTGATTTAATAATCTCTACCTGCTTTAATCATAAATCTGTGTGGTTCAATATAGTGTTTTATTATACTGATATATATATATATAATTCCTACTTACACTGTTTCTTGTTATAGGTAATGCATGAATTTATTCCCCTTGAGGAGAAAACATGAATTTAAAAAATAGTGCCTGTAATATAATATGATGATTATGGTATCACAAGCAATAAATCTTTTTTTACAAAACTTGAATTGAAGTTATCCTACCCTCTTTCTTCTTTGTGTATCTTTAAAGATTTACTGAAGGGGCTATAAAAAGTGTACTCATAAAAAGTTTAATAATGAAGGCAGCCGGGGTATAACTGCAGTAACAAGATGTTCCAGAGTTTCTGGTAGATTTCCAGTTCCAAATATTATGTACCAGAATAAAACCAAGTATCCTGCCTTTGACTTTGGGGAAAAAAAGCCTCACAATAATTTTATTAGAAGGATTACTGGGATTAGACCTGAATTACAGTGGCCCCTGATCCTCACCGTAAGTGAACTAACTTCCTGATCATTTATTTTAAACACACTGGTAATGCATGGCTCATAGGTTAATGGTATGTATTTTAAAAGACAATGAGTATGAAAAGACTGTAGAAAATATCATATGAATGTCAAATATAAGTAGGAATATATGTACATACATACATGAAGTATATATATATATATATATATACACTTCTCAGATTTGACTCATAATTTGCACACAAATTCCTTTTTATTACAGTTACCTAAGCTAACAAAACTATTAAATTAACTTAGCTGTCAGTAACAGTGCCTCCACCAGGGAATTTTTAATTTATTCAGATCTCTTGTAATTGCTCCTAACAATAGAAAACAGTGGTTTTATTGGAGAACAGGGGATAGAAACAATTCAGTAGCATTCTCTTTTCCTGTTTCTGGTAACATCAGTAGATATGATCCTAGCGATGCTAATATCTGCAGTGTTTCTGTCACCCACACGTGTGTAGATAAACAGTTAATACAGTGAAGAGCTGAGAGTGTAAACAGTGAGTACAATACACAGCAAGACAGCCAAGATCTTGCGCTGAAGATTTTATTCATTGTGC